ATAGGTAAGGTCACTAACGTGATATACATGTAGAGGACGAATTTATTCGGAAGTTTATTTCAAACTCGATTCAGCTGTTCTTCATCGTAGTATTTCAGTTAAAGATCTTGATGAATCGAAAAAATAAAAGAGGACGATGCGTCAGAGTGGACTGCGGAAATGACAGAAAGCCATCCATGCATCCCAATGAAAATTTTACCATATTTTAAAAAATCGGTATTCAATGAGTGATTTTTTTAATGATGAAGTATTGAGCAATTCAAACAGGGAAGCTTCTGCATGTCATCAGAGCTATGTCAATTGAACACATCTCTTGATGACCAAATGGCTAGCTCATGTACTCTATATGAGCAAAGCATTTGTGCAAAATACAATAATGCACATTCAATGTGAACAATGTCTTTCACATCAATGCGTAAATACAAAGGCATATCTGAATGTCAAAAAGATGAATTATAGCAGAAAACATTCCATCCAGATAGAGTATGATTGATTCCTATGCTATTTCAATAGAAGTGTTCCGACATCATAATTCCTACATACAGTACAATATATAAAATTTACAGAGCTCTTCTTGGGAATGCTGATTATCCACCTAATCAGGTACAANAAATTTACAGAGCTCTTCTTGGGAATGCTGATTATCCACCTAATCAGGTACAATCCCCTTCATAGTTACAATCGAAAGTTTTCATGAAACAAGCTTAGATAAAGCTTTGACTGAAGATACAGTACGTAACTTCTTTGGTGCTCGTTTACACAGATATTCATTTGAGGATGTTCATGTTTGATGAGCTCACCTTTATGATTGTTTCCGTCATCTGTAATAACACTTCCAATGTTCCGTCAGATTATCGTAATCTAAGCTTTACCAGTAATTCATGCATTTCTATGCTGTATCAGGATGACTTCGTTCAGTTGGTAAGAAAAGGCGCAGGTAGAAATTGTGTGAAAATTAACATAAAGCACGAGGAATTTAATCCCACTAATTTCGAAACACATCTCAGTGCAGGGGCTGACTAAAGATAGCATTTCACTCAAATTTTGTTGCAGATGGACATGAGTGAACCAAATTGCGTCCATGGCTCAGCGCCCTCAGTACATAAAGGAATGTTCAGAAACCACCATTCAACTGGCATTTGGTGTGCGGCATATAAGTTGACTTTAGTGGTCTGCCTCCTGGCAAATAAGAATGCTTTTTAGAAAATCAAGAATGTGATCAACGTCAAAGTAGATACAGCTTGAGTAAAAGATACACACAAAAAATCCCTTCGACAAAAAATTGAAAAATACTTTAGTGGTCTGCCTCCTGGCAAATAAGAATGCTTTAGAAAATCAAGAATGTGATCAACGTCAAAGTAGATACAGCTTGAGTAAAAGATACACACAAAAAATCCCTTCGACAAAAAATTGAAAAAAAGTAACAAGGAAGTTTTCTTTCTTCTTTCAGCGAATATAGAATAGACGATTAATGCTGTTAACATCTGAAAAGCCGCCAACATGCAGGAAAAGTCACCATTCATCACATCTTTTGCCGAACTCTCATTTCCGTCACAATCGAGAAAGTGAAAATACTGTAGTGCATAACGAAATTTTTTCGCACTACACGGAAAACAAAATTTCTTGGATCCTCACCCCCCCTCATCTTCAGGTGTGGCTCAATACCGCGAGACGAACTAAAATTCACGATCCTCATTCGGTAATAATATGAATGACAGCTGGACGGAAGTCAAAATCCTCGAGATGACCATATCAGCTCTTCAAAACTAGACAACTGGTGAAGACTTGGGCTTAGACGCGAATCCCCCTCTTTCCGTCTCCTTCTTAACATGCTGCATATCAAATGTAAAATACTTCCGGTGATCATTCGTAATGACATCAATTCATGGCATTCACTTACGATGACCTTGATGTGCGACATGGGCTTCACTTTCAGCGCTTCCAGGGAAGAGTCGTTTGACGTGAGCAGACGACCATCCAAAGCGAGTTCCACTGATGCGGGATCTAGTTTGAAACTATCAGCCATCTGAGGGCAAACAAAACTTAAGACAAGAGCATATTATACACGAAACGCACTTCGACACGTGCAACGATTCTCATCTAAAAAGGTACAGTGCATGCGTAGTAAACGCTCTTGAACCCGAATGGCACTCAAGAAATTTCATCCTTCGAGTATAGACAACTGCGAAACGCCAATCGAGCTGGTTTAGGTTTCGATATTGCAGAGATTTACCAGAAATGCTGAAACTCTACACTCGAAATCACCGGTTGGGATGCAGTAGCTCTGATTGGACAGTGAACCGTTTACACGACAGTGAAAACGGTATTTCCGAACTTCCATGTTTTTATTTTAAAATATTTCACAAAAGGATCTCACCATTGCTTTGAGATCCACTAGCTTCATGTCAGATGAAAGGAGCATGCGCTTCTCTTCGCGTTTTCCCTTCTTCTCCGAGATCAGCCCTAGCGTTTCCTCGATGTTCTGTAATTATCTTGATTCGCATGGGTACAAAACAAATAATTTGAATTCGCGAGACTGACCTTCATTCTCGGCTCTTTTTTGGTCAACTGAGCCACGTTAACCAGGTCGTTCTCTTCAACACATGAGAGAATCGATGCAAACACGTCCTTCATCACAGAAACCAGCTTGAAAAATAAGGGCTGATCTTTGTACACATATTGCTTGGCTTCCTCGGCTTGAATTTCGGCTTCCACACACGGGTCACATAATTCTGCAACAAAGTTAAAAGTCAAGCTGAAACCTTCAAGAAAGTCGATGACAACATAATTAGTGACTGAATGAATATGATAGAAACTTTGAAAATGACACTACAAATTGACTGGTGCGCTGAAATCTTGATCTAAGAAATATGTTTCCGTTTTAATTTGTAATAATTTGTGGACATTCAATTTCAACGAAAAAGCAGACCTGAAATGGGCAATTTTTCCAAATACAGATTTTAAATTACTAATACTGTATACACAGTATGAGCGGTGATAAAAAAACTGATACAACACATAACATTCAGAAGTCCAATAAGTTACAATTTATTCAACAAGGAACACAAGTTCATAACATGTAAATTTGCGGAGCATTGAATTTTGCGAAAGTGAAAATGTATTGATACTTGAGACAAAATTCCTTCGGAGGAACATACTTACTCAATAAAAGATCACAGCAACACGTAGTAAGGCAGACACAAATGATGCATTTACAAGGCAACTCATTCGATATTTAAACTTTTTTGTGGTTTGCAAAATGTAACTGTAATTCAAAATTTGAGTCTATCCTGAATATCGAACAAGTCTTTCAAACATGAAAATTCACTCAAATCAGGCGCCATTGATTTTTTCCCACGTGGAATGAGGTGGCTGACAAATTAATATATTTTTCAATGCGATTTTCGGTATGCACATGATTATTTTATCAGACGCCTTAATTCATACCTACAACGATCAATCCGCCAATTACTGTAACTTCAAACTTCGCTGTCAGAATAAACCAGGTAATCGAAGGGAAATCTATAGAAATAACTGATACACCAACAAACCTTGGTCCAATTTGAAATCCATCATCTTATCCGGATTATCCTTGATCGCAGTAGCGGAGATCTTATGGAGTATCGATACTTTCTCCAATCCATTGATTGAGGAATAACTCACTGGAATGAAGCTGTAATAAAAATGGTATCAGCTGCTTCACACGGAGTTTCGACGCCATTCACTCACTCTTCACAATCCCTTGGGTCTATCAATACCTTCCCATGCTCACAAAAGGCAGCAGACATATCAAGTGTAGATGGGAATTCCGCAGAAACAGGGTTCCTACAAAAAAGGTTTTCGGTAATTGCTTCGAGTAAACTTCAAAACCAAGTGCCCAGCCAAGAAAAGTCTTCCTTTCATTGATTAAAAAGAGGCCCCCTACTGGACACAGGTCTACGAAAATAAATTAGAATTCTACATCTCACGAATCGTGATGAATTACTGACAACAACCCTTCATGCTACTCGTATCATCCCAAACCGAAATCCGTGAAAGAATCTTCATGACTGGACGATCAACCTCGTACAATGAAGTGTAAAATAAAATAAAAAACCTCACTTGATGAATTTCTTCAGCTTGACGGCAAATTCATCAGAAACAAAGAACACTTGTTCGCCTTTCAAAGCGACTTGCGGAATAAAACCTTTCTTGGGATTGATTGCCCAGGTTTGAGAATCCCGAAGTACATCCGCCAACCGCTTCCTCTCTTCCGTCTTCCCAACAGCCATCTCTTGTAGCCCAACACACGTCGAACAAGCCTCTGTAGCCACAGGTAACTCTACGACCTTGCTGAAGAATTTTGAGAGAGTCTCCCACGCCGGTGCAGTGATGGCAAGGAGCAAGTTTTCGTCCATGACGCGATTGCCGTGAGAGCAACGAGAATCTGAATTGAATTCTTTCTCTTCAAACTTGGGCTTCTTCTGAACTTGGTACTGCTTCTGCAATTCATTCAATGCCTCTAATTCCGCCATTTTCTTCCAGTTCTGATAGCAATGTTTGCTAATCCAAAAGGCAGGCGCTGACCTAGGAGGCAAACCAGTTCTGTGAAGATGGCTCTTGGGTTTGGTCATCAAAATGAGAAATTATAAGCATGACGAGACATTAGCGATATTCGAGGACTAAAAAATAACAGAAACCAACATTTGAGACACTTCGGGCGAATGGGCATCATTCAAATAATTAATTTGTAGGTATACTACTAGTTCTACTACACACCTAGATTCGCGAGGGTGAGCAAAAAAAAAGCGGGACAAATTATTTTTTTTCTCCATTCCTCTCGGCAATGCACACACAAAAAACTCGAAAAAAAAACTAAAAAAGTGAAATACTGTAATACAATCGACCCAGCAGAAAATTTTCAGCGCATATTTTCGCATTTTCCGCTGATTACAGTAAAACCAAGAACTCACCGATTTTCTTTTTGTGCAGTAGCTTCGCGTTTCAGCAGGGCCTCATCAGAACGCATTCTTGTGCGAAGATCAGCTAGCACTTTCGGACTTCTCCTACAGATTTGGCAGATATCGCCTCGAGACCAGCAACTCCCCAGCTTAGCAACTTCCGAACCCTGTTGAAGAAGCATTTATTGAATTCAAACAATCGCAATTGTAGAAACGCAATGATATAAAATCAAATCAATGGGCGGTTCTCATCAATAATCGACTCAACGCACACCGAGAAATTCTGCATCTTACTCAGAGAAATACATTCGAAAAAAATTAGTTTCATTCAACTTTTAGGCACTCAAAGCTGTTCCAATTCAAAACTAATCATTAGACGTTTTCTCAAAATATCCAATAAAACGAACACGACTACAAGCAAAAAAGTGCAACCACCAGCACAAGTTCTCAATCACAAGGAATTACAAATTTGCGGAGTTTCAATTGAAATAAACTTACAAAAGCAGGTGGGACCAGCTTAAGAAAGGCAGGGACTTCCGACGGCTGCAGTTTCCCATGCTCGCATTCTACTTCCGCCGCATCGAACTTGGACAAGAAAGAAGATGGGTCCACTTCGAAGTACTTCGCAACTGAGTATTTGGGCACAAAAATCCAGTCCTCAAGATTCGTCCCCATCGCATTTGGCAAGATCTCCTCATAAAGCTGCTTGATAATTTCAATTTTCTTCTCATCAGACTGCCGCACTTCAGCGTCCAGTCGCTTTTTCTCCACACACGCCTTCCGGAAATCTTCCGCATCAGCCTGGGCGAACACATTAGTCCACAGCGGAAATTCCACGGATTGATGGTCCAATTCCTCGCAGTCTTTCCGCAAATAAAAGAGGAGTGTCGCACATTCCGAAGTGAACACAGTTGGCCCTCTCTTTGATTTCACTGGACACAAATTGGAAACATATTTCCATCAATTCCGAACACGAAAAATTGGATTGAATATTACACAGGAATTGACAGGAAACGTAATGGAGGCCGATCATAATGATCAAGGCCTGTTGCAATCACATCAATTATATCGTCATTAAATACAGAACTGCTAGTGAAAAATACTGCACTCGTACTCTCCCGGGCTTTTGACACATTTATTTTTGGGAACAGAGGAACATTCAAACAGCCATGGCAAAGGAAATACTCGCGTTTTCGCAGGGGAACACTTTTCCTTTGTATTTTCAGCCGTCATATTAACCTTGCGAAGTTGCAATGGAAAATAAATACTGTAAATCATAAAAAAAAAATTGCAGGAAATCATAAGAGGAAATAGGTGCGAAATTTGGAGGAAAATTCTATCCCAACATCACTGTCTCAAAATAGAAGCAAGCTGAAAATTAAATAGTGGCTCGAGGATTTCAGAACTTCAACGGTTTAAAACGGAATTGCAATATTTTACTTGCATTTTCACATCGAATATTGCTTTTATTGCGGCCATCAGCACAACAAAGCTTTCAAATACGGAGGTTTTCAATCGCATGCGATTTCATAAGAATTAACATGGAAACACTATTAAGAACCATTCATTTGAATTTAAATTCCAGCTGAAGTTGAGACTTCATCGTCGTCTTAGCCGTTTTGAAAAATATGAATGCTCTAAAAATTGGTTTGAAAATTCAAACACAATAGCACGAACAATCATGGTCACTTACGCGTCTGAAAGCCAATGTCATCCTCTGTTTTTGTACGGTGATCATCGAGATTGTGCCACTTTTTTCTCTCAAAATCCCATACAGATGCTGAGAAATGGTACTCTTCTGGAACATTCCCATGATGAAATACCACTCCAACCAGACGGTACTCATTAACACCATCCGGGTAGAGCTCCCCCAACTTCAGCTTCTCCGGGAATGTTACTCGGTCATTCACCTTCGCACTGGAGGAAAAAATAAATTTAAAATGCGTATTTTTTGAGTAATTCCATAGAAGAGCGCTGGGCTCGCAGACCAAAGATTGGCCCACAATTCTGCACAGACCCCACGAACAGTCCTAATAAGCGAAACCTCACAGTGAATAACTCACGCAGATAAAGTAACGCGACCAATGGCAAAAATCAGGTACGGTGGAATGCTGTCAAGGGTAGAATGCAGGACTCCCATTTCCTGTTTGCACTTGCTACACGTAATCTGGACCGGTTCTGTCGGAAAACCTTTAAATGCAGACATCACCGATCGACGACCTTTCTTGGCGCTTTCATCAGGGACAGGAACAAGCTGATTCAGAAAGTCCACCGTCTTCTCTACGGACTTATATCCGCACTTCGTACACCTGAAAGAAGGGCAAACAAGGTTTCATTCACAAATACAGCGGTAACTCCAGACGGGCACATCAAAACACACTCGTCAAGTAGACAATCGGAGGAAATTATTACTGCGCTAGATACAATTTTTCCAATGCACAGCCACAGTCATGATATACAGTATTACATAAGTAACAATGAACACTCACTCAACATGGCTTCTGATTTTGCCGGTGAAGTTCTGGAAGAAATTCTTCAACTGCGGATCCGTTTGCTCTTGGAGATCAGTAGAACCTCGGGCAATCAGCAAGTCCAGAAATTCTGAAGCATCTTGTGGATCATCGGTGTCCAGGTCCAAAACCCGCGACAGAAAACTTGGGTCCACTGCACTGAAAGCAGAAATGACGTTGTTGCTGGGTCTAAACGAGCTTTCCAAATTAAATCATGTTCCTTTGGAAAAATAACACCCAAGCATCAAACCAGAGGTCTAATTATAACTTTAAAATTTATCTTCTAACCAACTGCCCCTTTTCAGTCTAAATTCGATAGTTTAATTGCAGGTTAAACTACGAAAACATTGCACTCACACCCTCTTGGTGTCCTGCATCAGCCGCATTAGGACAATGACACTTCCTATCGCACTTCTAGGATAGACAGAGCCATCGTTAGAATCTCCAAAAGCTTTCGGCTCCTCATCTCCGACCAACGCAGGATTCCACTTGATCAATCGTCTTCATGAAATCGAGTAAAACAAGTTCAGAACCTTCCTTCCCGTCGAGTATACCCTTGCTTCATTACTTGAAAACTGGCAACCGGATCAAAACCTGTACCACAGCATTCATGTAGCACGTAGCTCCCAGATTCCACAATCCGACGACTTCATTTGGTTCACGAACATGAAATTCAAGAGAATCCACAGACTTGACATCGTTCAGCCAATCCTCTTCACCCAGCGCGTTCATACACAGAACACTCTTACAATTAGACCTAGGTACAACAAATTTAGTGACACGCTTCAAAGGAATACCACGCCTGTACATACTTGCAAGTGCCAGCAAGGCAAACGGTCAATGGGACGTCCTCCAAAAGGCTACGGGGCGATGCAGGCGAAGCGACGCGTTTCGACATTATAAATCTGCGCCGCAAATCCTCGGAATCTGTCACAATCTACTGTTAACCGATAAAATGAAGACATAACTCAACGCATACAGTTCAAATTGCATTCACTTTCAAGCGGTACAGCTAGAGAAAACATCGTAAAATCCCGTCTAACGTTTGGAAAATTTTTACACGGTAAAACTGATACGAAAAGAAGAAAATTGAAAGCGAATCAACGGCGCGTGAACCTTTTCATATGACGAGCGAATCAGCTAGAGAAAACATCGTAAAATCCCGTCTAACGTTTGGAAAATTTTTACACGGTAAAACTGATACGAAAAGAAGAAAATTGAAAGCGAATCAACGGCGCGTGAACCTTTTCATATGACGAGCGAACAGCACTTGGTACCTCCAAATTCATCGCCACCGTTTCTCTGTACGTCACCTTCATACCGTTTACGACAAGTTTTTATCGAAGTATTCGGATGAGTCTCGATGCATGAAGACTCAATCCTGCCAAACTTAGCTACGCATGCCGTGATGTCCAGCCGGATCTAAACGGAAGGGGGAGCACAAAAAAATACACTGCACGCAACGTAGATGATCACATAATTTCTTCAAAAATCGCCCACAGCCTAAATTTAATCAACGGCCCACGTGCTTGTTGACTCTAGAGATTGACGTTCAATCGACCACAGCGCTTCCGCATGTTACTCGCACTTACGCCTACAATCGCGGAGGACAACTTCGAACATCGAAAAATGAACCGCCAAGGACTTCCAGGGATTTCCACTCCCATGACCTACTTATACCGAACACTACTCTTGTTTAGCTACCTCTCTATATAAGTTTCACAGAGGTCTGTGCTATTCTTGCTTCTAGATGTCGCACTTATTACCAAAACTGTACTGTACAAAATTTCTATTGCCGGATCCTCGTCCACCCTATACTGCTGCATCCTGCTGTATATAGTACAGTATACTGTATTGCGCTGCTGATGTACGGTATGTTCGATATTTCGGTTCTGCCCTTCAAAATATTTTTAAACATGATTTTACGCATGGATAAAACATTCTTATTGAATTTTATCTGCATTCAACATATTTTTTATTAATTTTGTTGGACTCAGTTTCTCTTTTTATGATAGAAAAACGCCCGTTGAACCATATATTGTATATATACAGTACTGTACATGTGGCAATTATAT